TGGGACGTGCACCGAGGATTTGGGGAGGGGGTCCGGGTAAAGCTGCCCTGCCCGTAGAGGGGGGGGGCACTAGCCGTGGGGCTGCTGCCCACGGGGGGGGCTCTAGGTGATGGGGGCCACTAGCAGTGGGGCGACTAGTCATGGGGGCTGTGTTGTTGTGTACAGGGGCTGGTAGCCACGGGTGTGTTACCCATGGGGGGCTACTGGCCACAGAAACCGCTAGCCGTGGAGGTGCTATCCATGGGGGGGGGGCTGCTAGCCAGGGGGTTACCACCTGTGGGGCTAGTAGCACAAGGACAGCTAGCCACGGGAGCTGTTAGCCCCCCGGTCTTTGGAGGCGTGTGTGGCCCGTGGGAGCACCGGGACCCGCTTCACCACCCCGAGCATCCCGGGGCTGCGCCCACCGGGGTCTCCCCATGGTCCCTCCGTCTTCCCACACACGTGGGAGCCGCTTTGTTGCTGTCAGGGGCTGGGGATGCGGCTGCTCGTCCGCTGCTGGAGCAAGGGGCTTCCCACACCTTGGCCATGGTGTGAACTTAAGCCGGGCCAGGGTCACCGGCTCAGGGGGCAGCTTTGTCCAGGCTCAGGGATGAGGGTCCATCCTCCCCAGATGGCTCCCGAAAGGAGAGAGGGGTTTTTTTCCAGCTGAAGAGCTGATGTAGCCCAGTGGATCAGCCGGTCGTGGGCAAGCAGGTAAAGGTGGGCACCAGGATGGTGCGGGGATGTGGGGAAATGGCAGCACGGTTATTCTCCATTCACGTGCCACCTATGTCGCTGATGGCTTGGAGAAAGCCAGGGGGATGGCAGAGACCCCCAGGCTGCCGAGGGCGGCTCTGGGGGGAAGGCTGAAAGATGTTTCCCAAGGAACCACTGAAAGGCTTCAGCCAAGCTGCCCCCCGCATCTGCCGTGGGGATGTGGCATGGTGGCTGTGCACAAGGCTTGGTGCTCACCCCCTTGGATGCCCACGCTGCCACTGGCAGCAGCTGCAGCAGGGTTCGGAGTGGGCTCCGCGGGGCTCTCCGGGCAGATTTTCTGAGTTGGAAAGCAGGGAGCCTGCCCTCGGAGCCAGGTGGAGGGATAAAACATTAAAACATCAAGGCAGCAGCTTTGCTCCAGCCCAAGTTGGGATTAGGGCACCCAAGTTGCAGTGGGCATCGCAAAGCAGGGGCTGCCGGGCAGCAGAGATGCCCCAGTGCATCTTCCCCGCCCCCCAGCAACTCTTGCAGGGCTCTCTGTGATGCCTGAAGGCAACAGGAGAATTTATGATGTACGTTTTAATTTATGACATGCATTTTAACCCCCGTGACCGGTGGCTGGAGCGTGTGCCGGGGTGGGTGGGGGGCTCGCCGTGCTGGCAGGAGCCGTGCTGCTGTCACAGCCTGTGCTTCCTCCCTCCGCGCCGCTCGGCGCTCACCGGCTGAGCGATCACATGAGCCCCTTGTTCGGAGTCTTTGTCTCTCATCTCCTACGCCGAGGAGCTGCATTTTGGGAAGCTTCTGCAACCTCTGGCCATAGACCATGCAGAGATGCTCAAATAGGATTATTTGTCCTATTTATCCTCCCGGGGAGGGTTTGTAAAAGTCTTCTGTGCTTGGCGATATGTATAAACCCCCTGGTTCATTTGAGAGAGATGAGCTGTATTAATTATTAACTGAATCAGCACCAGGAGGCTGCTCTTGGGTGACCAGTAGCTGCAAACCCTCCTGCTCACCCTCGTTGCTGTCAGCTCCCTGAAAGGATTTTTCCAGGGTCCCTGTTTACCACGGCAGCCAGAGCGAGGGAGTTTGGTGCCAGCAGGTTTTCAGGGAGGCTGGACCTGTGGCAGGAAAACCCTGCGAAAAGCAACACCAAATTTGCCATGGCTCCAGGATTTGGGTTTCCAGAGCAGGGTTTGTACCAGCGCTGGGGGAGTCACATCTCCAGTGGCCATGTGGAGTCACTGGGGCTGGGGACAGTCACAGGTCAGTGGCACCTGGGCCAGAGCATCATGCTCAGGGTTGCAGAATAGAGGGTCCTGGAGAATGAAAAGTGTTGGACACCATCCCGCGGGAGGTGACAAATGACAGCAAAATGATACAGGTGGCACCAGCTCCCTGAAAAGCAGGGCCTGGGCCGAGCGTACCATGATGCTACGGTGCTGCTGTCATGTTTGCTGCTGAAAACGCACCCGCGTTGAACAGCTTTGCTCTGGTGGGACGTTGGTGGGGCCGCAAGCCGGGTGCAGGCGGGTGCAGGCATGCTGGCTGCAACGAGGTGTGCCTGCATCCATCCCGCCTGCCCTCACCGGACCTGCCCGTTAGCATCTGCTCAAGAAGCATTTTCCCAGCTTTTCTGGAGAAAAAAAAAATGAGCTTAAAACGCATTACTGGGGTACCGCCTGCAACTGGGAAATGGAGAGCGGCATCAGACAGCACATCCGAGAGGGAGCGGAGGGAGGTTTCAGCAAGAGCTGTAACATCTGAAGGCACCGCTGGGTTTGACACTGGAGCACCGGGAGGTCGGAGCACCCTGCTCTGGGAGATGACAGCCCTGCTGCAATTTTGCCAAGGAAGAATTTCCTGGTTTCTTGAAAAAACTTGCCTGTGTTCCAGCTGAGCTCTTGGTGGGGTGGGCGCGGGCATCCTGCTGCCTTACGGCCTCATCTGGAGGCTGTCGGAGACCATCGGTCCCCAGGGCACTGTCAGCAGGCCCTGGGGACAGGCAGTGGCATCAGCGATTGATCCAGAGTCAGCGTTTCCAGTGGGGAAGTGGGGACCTGGGGGGAGGTTCACTAGTCTCAAGGACTCACGCTATCAGGCAGTGCTCCAGGAGCACCGAAGCTCAGTGGCTTCAGGGACGGCCACCGAAACGTGGCGGTGCCGCACGGATGCTGCACAAGGGGCTGAGCAGGAAGATGCAGCCCTGCCTCGACTCTTTTAATGCTTTCTCCCTCGAAAGAAGATTCCCAAGACCTTTTTTCCCCACCAAAAACTGCATTTCCCCCTCCTGATAAAACAAAGCTCCATCAAAACTGCTGTGAACTTTCTGCGCGGTGTTTACCCTGTCTTGGCCGTGCTGCTTCGAGCAAACCAACCCCTCCGGTCAGGGCTGAATTTCCCCTCCCGGGACACGATCAGCCCCTGGCTCTGCCCCAAACCCCCCACTCTGTGGCCGACCCACCCTCCAGCTGGTCCCAGCCTCGGTGCAGGTTGCATCCCACAGTGCCAGCAGAAGCCGCTGAGCTGAGAAAACAAAAACAAAACAAAACAAAAAGCAGTGCAACCCCCAAACAAAGCCGCAAGCCTGGGGGCAGCCAGAGAAATAATCCCGCATGGATTTCCCCCCCCGCCCCGCCTCTGATTTATTGCCTGATGGGTTGCAATCCCAGCACTGCCGGTTGCTGCAGTAACAGCCGCTGAGCCCGTCTTTGCCAGGCTAAAGCCCGGCTGTGTGCAACCGGCCGGGAGCTGGGCTGGAGCGGAAAAGCTCAGAAAATGCCTCTTGAATAGATGCTAATGGGTAGGTCAGGTCCAGCAAGGCCAGGAGGGATGGGCTGGATGCGGGCGCACCTCATTGCACCCAGCAAGGCTGATCTCTGGGGAGGTTCCCAAGGGACGTTTGCTTTGGGAGTCATTGAGCTCTTGGGGAAACATTAACCCTCTAACCAACTGCAGATGTACATGTTGCGGCCACTCTGCAGCCCTGGCACTGATTATTTATTATTATTATTATCATTATTGTTGTTGTTGTTGTTATCATCATTATTGTTGTTTTCTTTTCTTTTTAACTTTGATATTAAGACACTGTGAGAAATCTCCCAAAGTGAGGGAATTTTTGGATGCTTTTTGCTGGGAGTCAGTGTTTGGCTTTTGCGTGTCGAAGCCTCGTGCTGAGGCTCTGTGAGGCCAAGCCGATTTAATTTTGGGGCCCATCTGATGTAGTTTGTGTGAAGGAACTGTCCTCGCACACGCCTCAGCATCGGGCCCTGCTGCCTATGCTCCCAGTCATGCAATGGGACCTGCTGCTCTTCTCAGCTGGAAAACCCTTTGAAATTGTGGTTGGAAGCGGGTGGGGGGAGCATCCATCAAGACCCCAGCCCAGCTGGGAGCAAGAGAGGCTGGAGCAGCTCCTGCAGTCCCTGCTTTGGGGGGGTCCTGTGGTTTTTGGGGGGGGGGGGATTTTTGACTATAGACGCTGTGGGCTGTATGTTACCACAAAGTGGGAGTCTGGTGATGCGTGGGTCAGGCTGTGCCAGATGGCAGCTGGAGGGGGACCTTTTGCGGGCTTTGGACCACCCCTGGGGTGGGAGAAGCAGGAAGGGATGATGACAGCTTTGGCTTCAAAGCCTGGCCACTGCTCCCCTTGGGGGGGCCACACTCAAAGCCCTGTTGCAGCGCATCCACCCCACAGAGGTGCTGCAGAGCCTTGTGAAGCCGGGATCTCCTGCCAGCTTGGCCCTGGAGGTCCCCAGGCAGGAGGGTTGGTCCCACAGCCACGGGACACCAAGGAGGAGGAAGAGGCAGTCGACATCGCTCCTTGCTGGGCTTTAACCTCTCACCCTTGCCCTCGGTATAGCATCGCCGGGAGAAGACGCCGTCGGCAGTGCGTGCCTCACCCCGTGCCCACCACCATGAAGACGGAGAAGGACGAGGCTGTGCCCACCTTCTCCCTGGGGGGTAAATATACCGGAGAGGGGGCAGGTGAGTCTCTTGTGCCACGGCGGGGGGGGTTGGTGAGAGGAGTCAAGGCAGGACAGGGGGTAGAAGCCTTCAGTCCTGTTGCTGTGTGGTCCCTTTGGCCAAATCACACCCAGAGGGGTGGCTGGGAGCACCCTGAGGGGTTGCGTGGCTGTGCATGGGTGCACATGGTTGTGCAGGGGTGTACACGTGGCATCACCCCGTGTGTTCAAGATGCCAGCAAGCTTTGTCTTCGTACCAGCAGCTTTTTCTAGAGCAAAGACCCACCCGTCTCTAACCACCCTGGAGGGCTCCTGCCTCTCTGGCCCCTTCCAAGCCAGACCCCACCAGCCCCCCCCCCCTCAATTGCCTGAACCCCTCTTTGTAAAGGGTAGGAAGGAGAGCAAAGAGGGAGGTGGTTTAGGCAGGGGCCGAGGCTTGTCTCTGCCCACGGCAGCCGGCGCCCGCTGCCTAACGGCCTCTCCCCGGCAGGTTGCAGCGAAGCGGCTCTGCCCGGCGGCCCCATGCCGGTGGCAGGGAGCGGAGGGACCCCAGCCCCGGACCTGCGGCCGCTGAAGCGCAGACCTGTCCCAGGTGAGCCGAGTCCCAGCCCCGCCCCGGGGAGGTGATGGCAATGGCCAGGGCAAGGGAACGAGGCCAACGGATCTGTCTCCTTCCAGGGAAGCACTACCAGTGCTCGAGCTATGGCTGCAAACTGGCCTTCCCCAGCATGCAGGAGCTGATGGACCACCTGAAGGTTCACTACAGACCCACGCAGTCCCTCGAGGGTAAGGCCGTGACACCCTGCGTCACTCCGGGGTACCCTTTTTCGCCTGGGAGGTGGCAAAGCGGGGCTTAAAGCTGAGGCAGCACTGGTGGTGGTGCCTGTACCTCCAGGAGATGCTGCACAGCACCAGATGGGAATGGGGAGAGCGTGGGAGGTGCTGGACACCCACCAGTGGGGCTACCCCCAGCCCCAGGTGGTGCAGCACAGCCGGGCTGTTGCTGAATCTCTGCCCTATTTCTTTGCTTAGGCAAAACCTTCCACTGTCCCACGCTGGGCTGCACAGAGACCTTCCCCAGCATGCAGGACCTCATGGCCCACATGAAGGTGCACTACAAGCCAAACCGCTACTTCAAGTGAGTCCCGCTGGTCCCCATCCCCATCCCATGCCACCCTGCCATCTCCCTGCAGACACCTCCCACGGCGTGACCTATCTGGGGGCACCCGGCAGCTCTCAAACAGCCCCAGGCACATGGGCTCCCACCTTTGCAGACCCCCCCACCACCACCACCATCTCAGCGGCAGACCCCCAGGGCCAGGGTTGCCGGGGCTTTGGGGATGATGCAGAGGGGAGCGTCGCCGCTGACGTTGCCTCCTCGGCCCCGCAGGTGTGAGAACTGCATGCTGCGCTTCCGGACGCACCGCTCCCTCTTCAAGCACCTGCACGTCTGCTCCGACAGCGCCAGCAACCCCGCACCACCCCCCAAAGCTGACAAGCCCGTCCTGCCTGCTACCTCTGCCCTGGAGAAGGAACCCCCGGCCAAGCCACCCGAGGGGTTGCCCAAGCTCCCGAGCGTTATCCGGCCCCCGGAGAAAGAAGCCATCCTCCCTGGCGCGGACACTGCCCCGGCGGCCCCCGCCGCGCTCCCCACCAGCCTCCCCGAGCTGCCCGGCTCGCTGGAGGCCCTGCCGCTGGTCTCGCCGGCCCCCCACCCCTTCCCGCTGCTGGAACCCAGCCTTTTCGGGCCGTCGTCCTTGACTCGGTTTTCGGGGCCACCCCCCTCCTCGGTGCCGGGGCCGTTCCTGTCCTACGTGCACCCTTCGCCCTACAGCTTGCCCCAGCCCCCGGCGCAGCATCGCCTCCGGCCCTACATGCCGGGCCACGGCCCCCCCATCTCCAACGCCGTCTGGAAGAAAAGCCAAGGTGAGCGCGCGGGGCCGTTCGGGCAAACCTTCTTCTGCTCCTGCCTTGACCAGCAGCTCCCGGAGGAGGACCCACCGTCGGCCAGCCGAGGATCCCCCTCCTCCTGGCCCCACGCAGGGCCAACCTGGCCCCCCCCCGGCCCCATCCCACCTCCACCCCACCCCTCCATCCCACCCATAGGGATGCTCAATTGGAGAAAGCACCAGCAACCACCAAAAACAAGCCTCTAAATTTTCCCAGCCCTGCTGCTCCCCGGCGTGCTGGGGGTGCGAGGCGGGGGGGCCGGGCCAGGCCTGCCCTCCCACGTGTCCCCCCCCAGGGAGGGGAAGACCTAATGCTTGTCTTGCCCCTCGATTCCCTCCGCAGGTGTGAGTGTCAGCCCACTCCTCCCATGCTTTGGCTCAGGAGTGACTCCAGGTTAGTTTGGCACCTACTGGTTGGGGGCTGCTTTCTGTCACTGGGGGGGGGTTGGGGGGGGGTGGGGGGGGGCCACAGGGAATGGGAGAGGCCCCACGAGGTGCCGCCATGCTCCCGGAGAGCAGAGGGGGAGGGCGGGCTCCCTCGTTTTTGGGAGCCACGCGGAGAGGGGATGCTGCCTAGGTAGGCTCGGAGATGGGAGGGGTTGCCAGTTGCACCCCCCCCAGCCGCAGGAATCACCCAAGCTGGTTCCTCCGGCACCCAAGGGCAGAAGCAGCAGGAGAAGGAGCTGCAGCAGCTGCTTGGGCTTGAGTCTTCCCAGTTGCCCCAGTCCCGAGGCCGGGCTGGAACCCGCTGCCCTTTGCTCCGTGGGATGCAGAGAGACGATGGCCAAAGGGAGGTCAGGACCCGGGGGCACAGCCTTGCTCCCCGCTCCCAGATATGGGGTTCCTCCCTTGGGAAGGGGATCTCCGTGCATGTGGGACTTGGAGCGGAGGGGGGCTCCTGCCCCCATAGCACCAGCTGATCCGAGCCCCGTGGCACCCAGCACGATGCAACCGGCACCCGGGGCCGCCTGCCCTGCACCGCTTTGCACGGCTCCCGCCGGCAGTGGGGGCTCCTGGGCACAGCCCCCCCAGGCCGTGGCGGGGGGCCGACGGGCGAGCACTGTGCTTCCCTCCTCGCCCGTCCTTGCAGGGCACTCCTCCAACAGCCGCATCGTGTGGGAGCACACGCGGGGCCGCTACACCTGCATGCAGTGTCCCTACTCCACCGCCTCGCGGGAGGAGATGACCCTGCACATCGAGGACCACCGCAAGAACCCCCCGCCACCCGGGCGCCTGGACACAGAGATGGGTACGGCCCGGGGGGGGAGAGGTGGCAGGAGGGACCCCCAACTGCTGGGATACTGGTGGGGAGCGGGCTTGATCTGCCCCGCATGGACAACGCGTACCCCAGTCCCTCTGTCCTGGAGGGGGGTGATCAGCTGCTGGGGTGGACGCTGGGCTTCAGGCTCCTGGCTTCCCAGCCTGCAGCGATGCCCCGGGGGGGGTCCATATGCCCTCCCCAGCCCCTGAGCAGCCTCCTGTGGGAGCCAGGGTGCAAGGGTCTGGGCTGCAGTGCTGACTGCTCTCTTCCCTCTCCCTTCAGATTTCGGGGTGGGCCTCGCCTCCTTCCACGCCAAGCTGACGCCGGAGATGGAGAACTCCCTGTACTCCCAGCTCTGATGCCCCCGGCTCCCACGGAACTGCTCCTGCATCTCCCCATCCCTCTCCCCCTGCTCCAGCCAGGCAGGGGGGCACTGCACAGCCCCATGCCACTGCACTGGGATAGGGACCCCTTCTAGGTACCAGGAGCATCCCCCAGCACGGGGTTGCAGAGGGGCAGATGGTTTTTTTTTTTTCTCTTGAATTTCTACCCTCCCTTTTGTTTTTGGAAACTCTAAGCACCCGGAACCCCATGTCTCCCTCCCCTAAAGGTTTCATTGCTTCAGCTCCAGGGGCTCTGGGGGGAGCCCGGTAGGTTGCTCAGGAGTTAGTGGACTTCTCTGAAATAAGGTCTCCTAATAATAAATGGGAATTGTACAGGAGCAGCTGCTGGGAGAGCCTCTGTCAGTCCCTGCGGCGGCTGGGGGTGATGGGGGAGTGATGTTGCCCTTAAGGAGGGGGCAGAGGGGGGGGGGGGACAGGGGGTATGTGTCCCAGCCTGACTCTGCTCCCAGGCTGGCCCTGCACAGGGCAGGTTTGGGGAAGGGGAAAGGGAAGGGGTGCTGCCTGCCACCCCCCCCAGGCCATCAACACATTCCAAACCACAAAAGGCTCCTGAGAAGCAGAGTTGGAGCTTCTGCCACCTGCATCCCAGCACCCAGATTGGGCACCCAAACTGGGGTAGAACTCCAGTCTCCTTGTCCAGCATCCAGCCAGCCTCCGTGCCTGTCCCAACCCCACCACAGGCAGAGGTGCCAGGAGGCCACTCAGCGCTGGGCAGCAAGTGGAGATACAGGGCTCCTGCCCCATCCCAACAGCTCCACTGTGCCCTGGTCCCCAGCCCTGGGGGGCCTGCACAGCCCCCTGCACACACCCCCCCCCCCCGTGGGAGCCACGCAGCTGCACGTTCTCACCCCAGGGCTCCCCAGGTCCCACTTTGCCTGCGCAGGTGCCAGCCCCATCCCAGTGAGGTGAAAAGTTTGCTCCAAACTGGTTTGAGCAAAGGCGTGCCGCTACATGCCAGTGCCCACGCTGGCTCTGGCCAGGCGCCAGCCGCCGCCGGAGCAAGGGACGGGAGAACCAGCACCCCGCTGCTCTGCACCCCCGGGTCAGGTGCTGCCGCCAGCCCCAGGAGGGGACACAAATCCCAGGGGAAGTGTTGTTTTGGTTTTTTTTTTTTTTTTCCCCTGGCTCTTGCACACAGAGCTGCCCTTTTCCCAGACACATTCCCCCCCCAGAACACAAGTCCCACGCAGGGAGGGGAGCTTCACCTTCCCACCCACCCCCTGCTGCCAGTAGCAAGTGTACAGCCCCCCCCCCCCCCCCGGGG